ATCAATTGGTGGGAGATAGCAAAGCTGCAGGGGTACAGGGCAGAGCAAACAAACACAGTAAGCCCATCAAGGTCTGTTCCACTGAATCAACTCCTCTCCAGGAGGCCCCCTCCTCCCTGAATTTGGTGGTGTGCAGATCGGCTCAGGTACAAATTGATCTTTAAAGCCTGCGCCCATTTTATGGGCCGTGTAAAGGAGGCATAAAGCTGGCCTAAGCAGGGCAAAATCCACTGCTGACAGCAATGAGAGCAGGGCTTTAGTAAGTTACTGGATTGTAACAGGCAAATCACGCCTTGGTGCTGAAGACGTGACCCCAAGCCATTTTGTGAACCCCCCCACCACGAGCTGAGGGAGAGCTTTGGGTAAGGCCTACTTTAAGCAGCATCCCCAGAGCACTCAGTCTTTCCGACACCTCACCTTGTCGATGAAGGAGGCGAACCTGTTGTTGAGGGTCTTGATCTGCTCCTTCTCCTCCTTGCGCACCCGCTGGATATTGGGGTCGATCTCCAGGTTGAGGGGTGTCAGGAGGCTCTGGTTAATGGTGACCTCCTGAATGCCCCCGGGGACTCCTCCACCGAATCCCATGCCACCGTAGCCGTATCCAGACCGAACGCTGTAGGAGCTGCCACCTCCAAGGGAGATCCGCTTGTTGGTGGAGCCGAGGTTGTAGAGGCTGGAGCTGCCAAAGCCGGCACCCACTCCTCCGCGGGTGGAGGAGACGGTGCTGACCCGCATTTGGCTGACCCCTGGGACTGCCACAGAGCGAGAGCTGAAACTCACAGACCGGGACATGGCTGCTCAGAGGGTGCCTTCGGTATCCCCCTCCCTTCAAAAGCTCGGGAAAGCTGTACTGGAGACCAGGGAGGCAAGTGAGCTCTCCTGACTCGCTTCTCCTTTTATCCGTTAGAAGAGCTGGGCTTGGCTCGAGGGCAAAAGAGGGATCGTTTTACTGCCTTCCGAGCTGGGTGTGCCTGGCAACCTTCCCACCCTCCGACAACCTGCTGAACTCGAAGGGAAGGGCCAGGGAAGGGGGACAGGACACACCTGGCGCCGTGTCCCGGCGCTCAGACCTGGCTTTGTTCCGTGCCTCCCTTTGCCTCTGCCACATGTGCAGCCAAGGGACAGGAAGCACGGGCTCCTCCGATCGACCTGGGCAGAGAGTAAGAACAGGACAGGTCCGATCTCCATGTCCTCAAGGCTTCTCTGTTCCTCCCTCCTTGCATAAAGGGATGCTGAAATGAGAAAAGGGGGAACGTGCTTTGATTTTTTGACTCTACCAGGGAGCAGGCGGCTCCCCCCGTGCACCAGCACGAAGGACACAAGGTGCAGCTGAGTTTAATATCGACCAAAGCCAGCTGCAGCCTCGGACGCACACACACCACACTCAGCCAGCAGCACCCAGCAGGGCGCCTGCTCCATGCAGGAAAATGAGGTAGCAGAAGAGATATTCTGCAGCTGACCCTGGGCACATTTTCATCTCCTCTCTCCTGCTAGCTCTAAAATAAAGGTGGTTGAAGCAGGTTGCACCCTGTGTGTGGAAATGCCCAGTGTGCCAGTCCAGACTCAGAAGGAGAGATTTCTGCTTTAACTACAGTGTTGCTATGCAGAAGCAGCAGAGACATAAAAAAAAACGGTTTTACAGGCTTTCTGCATTTTTAATAGCCTTGACAGGACAGAACTCTCTGTTATCAGGTCATAAATCCTCCGGGAGATTTCAAAGGCTATCTTGAATGTGTCACCCTTCAGATCTTCCTCCCATCAGGACAGTAAGATAGTGCAGGCGACATTTTCTGGCCACAGCCCATTCAAACTATGTACTTCCTTCTTTGCGGGGAGAATAGAAATTGAATGGAGATCCCAGCTACGAAAAGGAAATTCTGTTTCAAAAAGGGAAAGGGGGAGACTGAGCCCGACAGAGACATATGAGGCAAGATTCCTCCCTGCCCTGAAAGCTGGCTCAGCTTCCATAACCAAAAAAAAAAGATTCACTGAGCGTAAAGCAAACTTCCACGTTACGCATACCCAGCTATCCCTGACCTGGTAGCTGCTGCAGACCAGCTATGGCTCCTTTTATCCGTATGCAGAGAGCAACAAGGCAGAAGTCTCCAGCTATGTTACTTGGCTCAAGGTACTTCTGACTTCACGGAGACAGGCTGCTTTCCTGCAACTCCTCTGGGTTGTCTTGGGAGGATGGGAATTGAATCTGAAAGTACCATTTACGAGTTCTACAGTTAGGCAAGAATAACTCCCACCAAGGCAAATTCTTGCTGCTGGATTTTATCAGGCTGCTTTCCAGCCCTGACTCCCCTACATCAGCAGACAGGACTTTTGCACAACACGACATGCAAACCAGAAAGCAATCCAGCCAGGTGAAATACAACCCTGCTGTCAGATAACCTATCATAAAGGCAAAGCTGTTCCCAGCAGCCTCAAAGGAACCACCCGTTCAGCAGTAAGAGAGCTGAACTTCACCCTGCTTTGCGCTATCAAGGGCCAGATCCATTAAAAGTCATTTTTTCTAATCGCAATGACCACCGTGCAGCACTACTGATTTTAAGGGAGGATGAATCTATCTACCATTCGAAGTTTAAGCTCTCCTCTGTTCCATTCGCAGCCCAGGTAGTGCAGCAGTGCAGCAGGAGAGCCTCCTGTACCACGCTTGTGCACACTCCCAGCTCTGCAGCCAGCCCGCTCAGATCCCCTGTCCTTATCACAGCCCAACTTGCAATGCGAACGTTCCCCATTTAAAGCCAGTTTCAAGCCAGGTTAAGCCAAAGCAGGATCCTGTGACCCTGGCTGTCACAGGCAATTTCTTTGTGTTGCTGAGATGCCATGACAACGCCGCATTCTTTCACAACCGCAGGGACCAGTAAATGCTTCCAAGCCCATTGGAATGACCCCTGGGGATTCTGGTTGGGTAACAGGGAAGACACTGTATGGACCGGTTAAACACCCTTTTGGGGAAGTGAATGCTTCGACACTGTGACTGTTCTGCTTGGTGTGACTCCATGCCAGCCCCTGCACACCCAAGCCAGGAACACCCTGTCGCTGTGCACCAGCGCTCACAAAGCTGGCCAGAGGCACAAGTGACAAAACCCTCCGAAAATCCTTCATGAAGCGTACCGAGATTAAAATTCCAGCCCTGAGAGGGGGCGTGGGGGGAATCAAATGTGGCCACATCCTAAAGGAAGAGGAAGAAGTCTTTACAAATGAGCAAGATCGTTTTAAGAACACGTTATTACGCCGCTCGGTGTCTGTTGTTTCCTCACCCTCAGTCGATATCCGTGGGCTATCTCTTGCTGTGTGCTTAGATTGCAGTGTTTGGTTTGAAAGCTTTCTGGAGCAGGGAGTGCCCTTAGGTTTTGTGTTTGCACAGCGCAGTCCTGGTTTGTGATTACTGCTCCAAAGTGCTTCAGCACTGAGTCATAAATTAGTTAGTGTCTTAACGACCAGCAGTGTTTTGGTGGTCTGATGACTGGGGTATCAGAAGAGAATGACAAGGCACTCATGGTGCCATCAGAGAACGACACTGTCCGGCTGTTACTCTCGATAACACCCGAATGCAATGCCAATAAAGCTGCCACGCCAAAGATTTCCCCCACGCTGCAATCACAGCTCCCCCTTTCAGGAGCTGGCTCCTAGAGTACCATCAGTGATAAAAGTCTCTGGGTCATCAACAACTCATAGGAATTCATAGGAATATCGAGAGATTGCTCCAGAGGGAGCTTGTTCTCTGACTGCCCCAAGTGCAGGCACTGTATGTGATGTGCAGATGCCCAAACACGAGCCACGGCCAGACAAGGTGCTTACTGAACCCAGAGGATTAGATTTGTACTTCCCACATCACTCAGGTGATAAAGCTCGCTGTGATGCCACAGCTCATCTGCCTGCTCCCTTGAAAGCAACTTCTCCAAAAGGCGACGGCTGGTGATTTGAAGGATTCATTTGTTCCGAGGCTGGTACCTTGGTACAGTTCATTACCCTGCAGCAGGAACCCTCCTGCTACAACTCAGGGCACTGTGCCTAATTTGAGGTTGTTTAATTGATGTCTTTAATTTTCTGCCACTGCCCACTTCCGAAGCCCTGGAACAGCTCCCTTGAACCTGGTAGGATTTTCCTTTAAAGTCACCACCCTCTTGGCCTTCTGTTGGATAGAATGAATCCTCAGACTTCATAATCAAGTGGCTTTTCTGGAGACCTTGTACCACTCCTGGGGCCTCTCTCTGCTCCAATGCCCTCGGCAAATTGCAGAGGCCGTGCACTGGCACCATTTACACTGCAAAGTCACGTCTCCATCAGAGCTGGAAGCTGCTGCGATGGGTCTCACCTAACTCGCCAGCTACACCTCTCCTTTCCGCAGTGAGGCTGAGCAGTCTCAGTACTGAGGGGGGCACCACGGGACCTGCAGGAACAGCCAGAGGCTGCTTGCCCCGGGGGACAGAGCCAGCTCCATGTTAACAACGAGGCTTCCAGCAAGCTCCTGCCCTCCGGGAGCTGCACCTCCCCGCTCCTCCTCGCCCTGCCTGGCTGGGAAGCCCTGGGCTCAGCCCCTCGCTGCTCCTGGAGCGCTGCCTGCTGCTGGCCACGTAATCCACTGCTGGGAAGCAGCTCCTCGAGCCCAGAACGGGCCGTGCCAGTCCTGCTACCTGAAATGCACAAAAGGCACCGGTCTAAACCCAGAGGCTTTTAGGTAACAGCACAAAACCAGCCGCCAGCGGAGCTCCTTGCGCCCCCAAAGGAGCTGCTGCCCCTGGAGTCCTCCCCGCTTTATTTCCCACCTGCTTGGCACGGCAGTGGGGCTCCCCGGCCCCCCGGCTCGAGCCCCGTGTGCCTCCTGCCCCGTTTGCACAAGGATTGCTCACACCCTGTGCTGCGGCTGCTGCTATGGGAACTGCTGCCCGTTGCCACGAGCTCCTGGACAAACAAGCACACCCAGCCCATGCAGGCGGCCTGCACGGATCCTGCCTGGGAAGGCATCAGCAAAAGCTCTCCGTGCCTGACGCACGGGGGAGGCATTCAAGCTATGGACTTTCTCCCCTCTCCAGCCTCCTTTCCATGCATTTAAAGCAGTTTTGGTTTTTTTCCCCTCTCCCCCAAATTACAAGATCTGATGATTACAAGAAATCATGAAGGAATAACTATAAATATAGCTATAATTATGTATAATCATAATTACATGGATAATTTTTACATGAAAGTCAAGAGTCACTCCTGCAGCTAAAGCCTTGAGGAAAACAAACAAACAAACAAAAATACTGCAATTCTCAGAGCCAAGGTGAAACTGCCAGTCCTGGCCAATGCTGGGCTCTGCTTTTCTGGAAACGGTGTCTCAGAATAGAATGGAAAATCCAGGTTTTGTCCCCACAGGATGACACAGAGCAACATTTTGAGCCTGGCCTGGTGCATCTGTTGGTCGGTTCCAGCTGCTAGCAGCTGGTCTGATCCCACCTCTGCAGGTACACACACGGCACAGAGCGGGCACGCTGGGGCAGAGCAGAGTCCATCCATCTCAAGCAATACACGCTGGCCAGCACAAAAGCACAGGGTAATTATATAGTGGTCCTTCCTCTGGCCACGCTTCTTCAGCCTCCAGCCATCCCTCAGCTGTTTAACCCTTCCCATGGAGGCTGCACCTTGACCGGCACGTTGAGCTGCTGGTGAGGGATTTTTCTCCCCGTTCCCCCTGCTTGCTACAGCCCGTGGCAATGAGATTGCACATGGTGTGAGATCTTCCCCTGTTCCTGTTTAATTAACTCAATTGCAAACTAACAGATGCCGTTCGGAGCGGGACCAGGAGCACAGGTACCCTGCACGGCTACAGGAGGCTGCGGGCCTGATGCACGCCTCGGTTCAAGGCTGACGCCATCGTAACCTGAGCAAAGAGAATGGAGCAGGGAAGGAGAGAAATGGTCCTGCACAGTCATCAGGAAGAAATGCTCTTATCAAAATTTTGCCTCGTCTGACACAGCTCGGGCAGAGCCAGCGGCACAACGCCGGCTTACACCAACTGATGCTGCGTCTCCATGGTCAGGAAGGATTAAGGACTGACTTCTCCCAAAATACGAAGCTCCCAACATGACAGCCATCCTCAATCAGCCTTGTTTGTACAGCCCTCGGCACAGCCTCATTAGGGACGACAACTGGGTGTCTTAATAGCTCCCACAATACAAACAACCATCTTCACCCCGGTGACTACGCGGGAACAAAGCTGCTCTGCAGCCTCTGGCCCCAATTACAAATTCCAAGATCTTTCGCAAAATCAAAGCTGTCCAAACAGATCTGTTGCCCAATACGGGCTCCTAAGGAAGAAAAACAACAAAGAACAACACGGAGCCGTACGCAGTGTTTTAGATAAACTGTCCTGCAGACAGGAAGTCCGTGGGAGAGGCAGGAATAAAACCCAAATTGCCTCGCTCCGCTCCCTGAGCACATAGGTACGCCTTAGCAGATGAGCGGCTGTCAATATTTATTTGAATCCTCGGCACGTTAGATCGCAAAAACCCCAGCAGATTTGGTGCAGGCTGCTCTCCTGCTACAGAGGTGGTTTGTTCCACCAGAGGCAGCTTCTCCTGGCCAAGCACTGGGGCCATCCGCAGCGGGGACGTTTCCCACGAGGACCTGCAGGCATTTTATGCGCTCGGTGCACAAAAATGGAAGTTGCAGCCCAGCCTGCAAAAGCCCAAATGGTTTTGTGAAAGGCTGAGGAGCAGAAACAAGTCACCAAAGGCAAGGGGATAAGGCCAGGGAGGGGTAGGATGTCCCCATGGATGAGTCACGGCTGAAAAGAAAGGTAAATAATATTCAAATGATTAATTCGTTATGAGTATTTTATTACAGCTATAATCATGAAGATGAAATGATAACCTTTGCCTCCAGAGGGGCCATTTCAGCTCTCAGGGGGAGGTAAGTGCTTTGTCTCAGGACTGTAAAACATCTTCTGTTTTCTTCCCTCCCCATGATTTGAGCTCCAGTACTTCCCAGCTGCCTGCTGCCACGCTGCCCCCGTGTTTTATCGCCGTATTTATACCTCGGCCAGCAAAAAGTCTAATGAAAACTTTCCAGCGCTTTTAACCCAAATATAACAAACCTGATGGCTTCAAATGAAAGCCAAAAAGGAAGCTGCAAAGCCCCTTTTCCTCCCGTCCTTTCCTAGCTAAGGGCCTGGTATCAGGTTTTACAGTAAGAGCAAAGGGCAAGACTGCAGCCTTGGACCTGCCGGGGAGCCAAGCCCTGGCTGCTGATGGCAGCAGAGGGTGTGGCAGGTCTGTGTCAGGTATTGCCATAATCAATAAATTTTACATCTAATTATTGTTGTCATCGCTGGGTGATCTCACCCGAGGGAGCCTTTCCAGGTATGTGGGAGGGGAGGGATGATCCCCGGCGCTGCGTGGAGCTGGGGCTACCCAGGGCCACGCCGGCTGCTCGCAGAAACCTCCTCCAGCCCCAGCACCCAGCTGGGCTCCTCCCGACACCAACCCCAAAACCACCCCCCAGCCACCAGCTCAGCCTGGGGCAGGCTTCCACGTTACGTGAGGACAGCGAGGGAGGAGGGAGGTTTGGCAGAAATGGGAGAAAAGGCGAAACAGCAAAACAGCCCTGCTTGCGCTAGGACCGAGAGCAGCTCTCCATGATGCTGAGGATGCTTTGTTCCCACACAAGGCCCTTTGGCTGCAGCGAGAGGGTTGCATAGAGCTCTACCTCGCTTTTCTATAGAAAAGCTTTTTTCTATTTTTTTCTGTTTTCTATAGAAAAGCTTTTTAAGGGCCATTCAAGGCAGGACCGAGCTCCCAGTTTACTGCATGCACCAGGCATGAATCAGTCGCGTAGAATTTGACCCCAGGAATTAAAATCAGGGTGAATCAGATCAGGTACCAGATTTAACAAGGATTACAAGGCTTCCTCCTGGGCTTAGCACCGGCCTGAGCCCGACACACGCGTGCACGTGCCGATGCACGGGGCCTTTGCACGTGCACACACAGCCCCCGCCGTACCACCCCGTAACTGCCCTCCAAAGCCAAGCCGGAGCGAGAGGAGCGGGCGATTCCTCTCTCTGCCTCAAGGTGCTGACTTGGGCCCGTGCCTGAGTGGCGTGCGTAGTACGAACCCGCTGAGCTACGCTACAGGGCACGCCATTTGGTGCCAAAGCTTCCCTTGCAGACATGTCGGGACAGCAAGCAGCTCCCGACCGCACGCTGAGCTGCGAGGAGGAAGGTCCAGGAGCCAGCTGGACCCAAAGGTAACAGCACCGAAACCACGCACGCAGCAACTGCCCCTCTGCAGCCCAGCAAGCAGTGACCAGGAGCTGCCGTGCCATGCTCTCTGCCCATGCTGAGGAGCCTTGGGTTGCATCACTTACAAAGCGTGCAGCACGACAACGCGCCCCGAGGAGAGCTGTGGTAAGGTGTGGGCACGGCTGGGTGACTTCTTTGCCTTCGTTCCAGAAAGGTGTTGGTGGCACAAGGTGGGAAGTAAGGGACACTGAGATGCAGTCAACGTAAGCAGCTGGAAAAAAAAGGTAAATACAGACCTATGGCCTGATGGTTTGGGCACGTGGCCTCTGAAAAGAGCAGGCACAAAGCAATTGCAAGTGAGGGGCATGGAGGTGCTGGAGAAGGCAGCTTAAGCACCTCCCACCCAGCCTTCTGGGGGTCCCACATCTCCTTGTTCCCAGTCTGTGCTACCAAAGCTGCCTCACCAAGCAGTGACACCGTCCCCTTCTCTTCCCACTTCTTCCACCTGAGGACACAAGTAGCAGGAGCCCCAGTCCTCACAGAGAGACAAGACACCCCCAAAGACACATTGCCTCATATGACCTCATCAGGGTTTTTTTTTGTCTTCCTTTACATTTCTGGACTTACTTCTGCAACGCTGATTTTAAGAGAGGAGCTGCTGCAGGCTGGGCTTGCTCCAATCGTAGCCAACAACCCCCACCTTGGGGCAAAATTACAGGTTTCTGCAATTCCCAAGGCAGATGCCCACCTACCAAGCATCACTTTGGTATTTCAGGTCTTTTCTCTCTCCACAGAGAGATCCCAGTGTGTTTTAGCCTTGCAACCTGCATGTTGCAAAACAGGTACACGGCTTCATAAATATCCATGCAACCTCATTAAGAGCTAAAGGCTCGCAGTACCCACTGAAACACAATGCATCATTATTTATGCTGCAAACCATGTGAGAATGACACACAATGCAGAAACAAAATGCCTAATTAAAAGTGACACAAGAGCACAGAGCCAGATTGTAATCGGAGTGGTGGATACTGGGTGCTGTCTAAAAGGAATGAAGTCATTTGCCCAAGTGTGGATTGAGAAACACTAAGCAGTAAATCCTCACACTCTGTCTCATTTATGCCTTTTTTACAAGCAGGGACAAGGAGAAAGGAAAAGCCATTTGCCAAAGTAACAGAACAGGTTAGTAGAAAGGAGCCAGGCTCCAACACAGCTCTAAATAAAGAGTGGGCTCTAAGATCCCACTGGTTGGCACTGGGACCGGTGGCGATGGACGGCTGAGGACACCCAGAGATTCAGACTCTGGAACAGCCTTCAGCCAACAGAGAAAGCAGCGGTTTCTGAGATGAAGCCATGTCCCTTTATTCTGGAGATGATGGGATGCAGTTGCCCAGGGCAGAGCCCTAGGCACGGACGGTATCACCCAGCCGCTCTGCACAGCGGGGAGGGAAGAGGCTGTGGCACCGCAGCAGAAACGAGTGATGTCACCACCACTTAATTAGCCTGACTTTTTTTTTTTTCTTCTTCTTTCAAAACTTGACATTTCCTGGAAACTACATGAGCAAAAGTGCAGCAGATGGGTTGGAAACCTGAGCGCGAAGCAGATGTGGGCATGTCCTGTCCTGCCTTCCAAGCCCTTCTATAAATTCTTTGCAAGTGACGTCTGTTTTGGGGAAGTGATTTAGATGGCAGTTTGAGCTGCTTGATGTTGCACCCAGAAATCCGAGAGGAGGGGAGGGGGCAGCAGGCTGGAAGGAGGAAGGGGCTGTGGATGGGTTTGGGCAGGCACATAAAGGAACAAAAGGAGGAGGAAAGGATGAAAACGTGACACTAGAAGTTTGGATGGGCATGAAAAGAAAACAGAGGGACAAAGCAAGGATGAAGCGGAGCTGGGGAAAGCTGGAGAGCAATCCCCAGGCAGCCCCCCCAGCAACATCCCCAAAGCCGCAGAGCTGGGGTGCAGCTCCCTGCCCAGCCGTGCTGTCCCCATCCAGTATGGGTAAGGCAGCTGCAGCGCTTCCCTCGGTGCCCAGCACCGTCCCCCCAGGGCTGGGCAGCAGCAGACAAGGAAAGCAATGGCAAACCACACGTGGGCCCAAATTAGCACGCAGCCCTGTGGTCACTGGCATGTCCCCAGCTCTCCTGCCACAGCGCTGCTCTGGCCGTGCCTCCAGCCCAGGCCGGCACCTTCCCTTCTCCACCAGGCACCGTGGAGCCGGGCTGAGAAACAGCTGAACTAAGGCGTCTCTGCGATCAAAGCCCCTCGCCACAAACCCAGCTCTGCTGGCCTGCAGCCCCACGGCTGTCTCCAGAACCCGTCTCCAGCCTACGAGCAGGTAAATGCCTTCGCTATCACGGGATGAGCCAGCAGCCAATTTAACAAAAGCAATCAGGGGCTTTCTTCTGGTTCTTTTTTGGTTTTAAACCTGAAGCTTTGGGGACCAAACTGAGCTCTCTGGAACCAGGAACCTGCAGCTGCTCTGCCTTGTCCTCCCTGTGGCCACGCTATCAGCCATTCCCCTGCGATGTGTCACTTGCCCCGCCACACACAGCTCCCACTCCAGACGCTCCTCGCGTGCCTGACAAGGCTTAAACAAGTCCTGCTGACCCACTCATTACCTCCGTGGCTCTCTGCACCCCTTAGCCCTGTCTCTGTCTTGCTTAACCTTAATCATTCTGATTCCTTGGGGCAAATGCTGATTCGCCGTTCATGCTTCATACGTTACCCATACTTAATAAACAGCAATTACTTATGGAATCTCGATAGATAAATTATTTTACTAAGCATACATACATTGAGCCAATAGCCCTACAAGGTGCTTTGCCAGATGGCTGGGATAAATCTCCATGTACCAAGGGAAAGGTGACAAGGCTCCAGGTTTGTTTGCACAGAGGCTTAACCACCTATAAGTGACCCCGTGGTGGCTTCAGCTGCCCCGTGCCCACCCCCAGACCTCAACCTACCGAACAACCACACTGCAAGCTTGAAGCAATGCGTTGCCTTGCTGCAAAAACATCTCCAAAACGGGAGACCCTCAGGTCACTCAGCATCTTTGGGTGGTAGCTCCTTCATCTGAAGGATCAAGCCAGACCAGGCTGCACAGACACGGGCAGGACACAGGCTGGAGGTGGCTGAACCCTTCATCATGTTCTCCACCTCATCTTCATCACACCTCCACCCCTCCTGTTCACAGAATCACAGAATGTTGTGGTTGGAAGGGACCTCTGAAGATCATCCAGATTCAGATCCTTTTTTCAGCTCGTTTTGCTGGGCAGTCAACACGGCTGGCACCAAATTTCAAAGCCAGATTTTGGAGAACAGCCATTTCCAAATTGAACCAAATACCTGGCTGAGGAGGAGCATCGAGAACATCAGCAGGAAGAGAAAAAAACACCCTGACTCAGCACTGCCTCTCCCACAGGGCAGGGAAGACAGCAAGGGAGAGAAACACGCAGCGAGGCTTTGGCTGCACACCGTGTGAAGCAGCCCTCCCTTCTCCATCCCTGGAACAGGGTCACAGGTTTCCACGTTTAAGTGCGCCTAAAAGACCAAAGAGCAGCATCAATCTCAGGATCAGGTCAGGCTGTTGGAGCACTGCCGAGGAGTAATGCTCTCACAAATTAAGGTTCCCTAGGACCCAGCAGCAGCAGCACTCTCTTCCCTAAAGGGGCAAGTTTGGGTCCCCATCTCACCCCACTGCCTAGCAGGTGGGACCACAGGAGCTTCAGCTTGGTGCCTAGAAAGGAGAGGTTAGGAAGCAAGATAATCCTCTCTTTGCAAGCTCTTCCCACATATCCTCACATCACCTGCCAGCAGATGACCACTTGCACACACTTTCCTTAGAGGGTTACAGCAAATTATACCCGTCCTCCTGGAAGGAGACAGAGCTTTGAAAAACCTTGCTCATCTCAGAGCAGAGAGGTCCCATTGCTACCCCTGGAAAATAGCTTTTCATCCTGCCTTTCCCAAGCATGAAAGGGAGCTTTAATCCTCAGCCATCTTCCTCCAGCATCTTTCCGTGGCAGAGTGATCCTGCCTCCCTCCCCAGCACCTGAGCAGCACCTAGCAGAGAGGACACGGGATATAGAACGTGATCCTATACAGGACCCAGGACTCCAAAACCAGAATGCTACAACTAGATCTGGACAAACATTTGTTCTTGTTTTAAACCCTGACATTCTGCACTGCACGATGCTATTTCAGCCAGACTGGGTGTTCTTACAGGCTGGAGCCAGCGTTAGAAGTTTCATTTCAAGGAAAAGATAATGGGGAGACAAAGGATCGAAGCTTGCAGGAGAAAGGAGTGGGGACTGATGCTCAGGGAGATGTGGTTGCCAACGCAGTGACCAGCAGCGCTTTCTCTGCAGCAGCACTCCCTGGGATATTGCAAAACACCATCGTGCTAGCACCCAGCCTAGCTCCGTGCAGAACACAGCTCGCAGCTGCTATTAAATTGAACTAGCTTAATTTCACCTCTATCTCCTTCCCTTGGAGGGATCATTCCTAGGGAGCCATCACAACTGCCCTCGGTACAAGATGAAGCAAAAAACCTGCCACGTGGCTCCGTGACCTGATGCTAATCAGCAGCACTGATGTGCCTGCAACCACAAAGCCACAAACGAGCAGCCCACGATGAGATAATCTCACCTCACCTTGCGAGAGCCATGAGCTTTGTCATCTCTCAACCATATATTTTGGTTTAATCCTCAAAATAAAGCATCAGGATTAAGCTGGAAAATCTGACACTGATCCATTGAGCGAGGGACTCGGTATTCAGATGGATTATCACAGGAAACACGTGAGGCGAGATGGACGTGCCGTTGGGAAAGCACGCTGCTCTTGGCAAAACACTGAAACTACACTTGAAGAAAAGGATAACCCCACCAGGATGGGTCAGCTTCCCTGGGAAGCTCTTTTAAAGCCAGAAACCCCTACTATCATGAGACACATTCCTTATTGGAGCAGGTCTGTGACAGACCCAAGCTTTCTCCCCCTTCATTCAGCAGGGAAATTCCCAGTGTGCCTTCCAACGTGGGGCAGAAGCAGTCCGTAAAAAACAGCAGCTTTCCCACAAAATGGAAATTGCAGATTTGGGGCAGAGAAGACCATCCCCTTTCCTGAGAACGCTGCGATGCTAATCAAGCTAAGGAGGCAGAAGTGGGTGTTCTTCTGTCCTGCTTTTTCACATGAGAAACTGAGCTAAAGCAGGAAAAAGCTTTCAAGAGAGCCGTGTCCAACGTTGGTTTATGCCTAGGTCCAAACAAGTATTTAAGGGCGTGCCACCTCAGCAGGCTAGAATTTATTAAAAGACAGTGGTTTTTGGTGTCTCCCAAAGTTAGCTTTTACACAGCTTTTGGGGAGGGGAAAGGCAGGTGTCAAAGAGGGACATGGGCACTTCTGAGATCCAGCCTGGTGCTTCTGAAGGCCCCTGTTGCTGCCAGGCCAGCTGACCAAATGACCCCAAGGACTCTTGGCCCACCCAAGGGGTCTCCAGACCAGACCCAACATCCCTCAAGCACTCAGACCATCAGAGGCTTGCGTGATGCACCTGCGTGGTCAACGGAAGACCATGAGCAAGTGTAATTATGACGAGCTTGAGACACGTTTCCAAACTCCTACCCTGAGCAAATTCTGACTCCTGCTTTACGATTTCCTCAGCCAAACACTCCCCACTCCCAAAAAAATCACAATCCCTTTGGCTGGAGACCAGCCATGGGCTGAACCCGGGCTCCGTGCGCCAAGCACGACGGCAGCAGCCAGGCTCGGAGCCGTCCTCCCCGAGCCTGCAGCAGCCCAGCTCCTTTGGCTGCTTTCTTCACCATTTAAGGATGAGGAAAGCAGCCGCTTGGGGCCCGGCGAATTACCTGTGAGTGATTTGTTTTTGCTGCGAGTGCCTATGCCCTCACCACACAAACAAGCTCCTGAAGAAAGGAGGGTACAGAGAGAGGAGGAAAAAAAAAAAAAAAGAGAAGCCAACAGGTTGATCTGGATTACATCAACGGTTACACCCTCCTCCGTTTAATGAACATAGGAGAACAGGTGCTTGTAATTTATTAGCCAACCCACGAGCTGAGGAGACAGGAATTAGCCGACCAAGCTCCTCAGCGTGCCACTACTCTCCTTCCCTTTGAGGCAGCAGCAGCAAGAAAACTTCATCTCTTTTTTTTTTTTTCTCTCCCTTCCCTCCCTTCTCCTCCCCTAGAGCTGCAGAGCCACAAGCTGAGCATGACTAACCCTTGCAAAGCCTTCACTAGTGGCTCCCTCTCCTCCTGGGAGGTGTCAGGGAAGATGAGCAGAGGAAAAGCAGCCAGCACGTCCCCAGATCGCCTGGGCCGCTGCAGCCCCAACGGCGTGGCCAGCAATGGCTACAGCTCCCTCAGCCTCCACGGAGATGGCGGATACCAGAGCTCCTCTTACTTCTCCATCGACGGGAGGCTCCTGGCTCCCGTGCACCTTGATATCGACACCGACTTCCAAGCCATGCGGCAGCAGGAGACGGAGGACATCAAGCTGCTCAACAACCAGTTTGTGACCCTAATCGAGAAGGTAAGGCGAGCTGCTGAGGACACGGCGCAGTGTGGGGATGAGGATGGTGGCGGGGAAGCGAACGCTAACCAGTCTGGCAGGGGACTTCTGGAGGCCTTCAGCTAACCACTGCCAGGCTCTGAATATCAGGCTAATTACCCAATTAGTTATTCCTTCGGTGCTATCTCTTTTGACAAGGGCTAGCATCATCCCTAGGTAAAGCTGGGCCACATCTGTGGTCAGCAGCAGCGGGTGGCCTGTGTGTCTCCTTCGCTGTGCCTGTCACCCCCTGGGTGACCTCTGCCATCGGGGACCTGGCCCTCCCTGAGCACAGCAGGGTGGTGGAGGCACGGTGCCGGACAGGGCAGGCCTTGGGCTCCTGTGGTGGACAAACACCCACGAGCAGTGACGCTGCCTGAGGTGGCCGCTCCAGTTCTTCTCTGGCTGCTGAAAGACAGCTGGAAATTCACCCCTGGAGGTGCAGAGCGGGCAAGGGAGACCCCCCCCAACACCTCCCTCCTCTGTGGTTTTTACCGTGAGGGGTTGCACGCTCAGCCAAGAAAGTGTCGCTTTCATCTCTTAAGATCCATGAGAAGGCAGAAGATTTTCTCAAAGGAAAACAACTCATCCAGCCGAGGCAGGTTTCTGCAAAGCCCTGGTGCTCTGTAAACAGATGGTAATCTCCTAGGAGGATTGCTTCACTGCAGTCTACAATACAGGCTCTCAATGCCAAGCTACTACAGCTTGGGATTTTATTTATTTATTATTATTTTCTTTAAGTCTACCTCTAAGAGGACCTGAGTTCACACTGGGAAGGAGAAGGGCGGGGGGACCATCTCCCATAGCATCTATCCCAACCGAATAGTTGCGTACCCACCACACCCACATGTGCAAACAGGCGGGTGGTGGTGCCAGGGGGCTGACCCTGCATGGAGGAGCAAGGCAGCCTCCGCGTCTTTGCTTTTCTAAGCACTGATTTTGGCAATGCAAAGCTGGAAAACAACTGCTTTGGAAATCACCTGGATAGGTTTTGTTGCATGTGCTGCTGGCCTGGTCCTCTGACTATCCAGAACAAGAGGGATGCGTGCACATACAGCCAGCCCTGCTCAGAAACCAGACCACAGGAGAAAGGATGGGAGCAGGGGAGATGGGGCAAGACCACACAGTGACAATACGTACGTAAGCCAGACCACAGGCACCAGCCTGTTCCGTGCAAACAGAGATGGAAGAAGTGACAGAGGCTCCAGATTTCACGATAAGCCCAAGCTGGTGGCCTGCCGATAAGCACGGGCCTGATGGACAGAAGATACAAATACTCCACCTTAGTTAGGCGGCTTTGTCTTCAGCACTTGCAGCTTCTGCATTTAGCTTTGAAGGCTGCAGCTTCAAGTGGCACGTAAGTGGTAAACTTCAACCATCTGCCTCAGGCTCTCATTCCAGAAGAAAGTAATGACACTTCCTTGTCACAGAGAACTTGTCTTTTTAATCGGGAATTCAGATGGTCTCAAGCCTGAGCGGCTAATTCCTCAGGTAATTGACAACAATAACTTTAGGAGCTTGCTGCTGATGGGCTTCCAGCAGGCTGTTCCAGATCTGCTAGTATTTCCTTTCCATTTGCTCCAGATATGTCCAGGTGAAAGACAACGAACAGCCAAGGAACCACATCCCTGTTTGAGGCCCTGCCTTTACCCTGAGCAGCTCAGGTGCAGAGGCCTCCAAGGACTACGCTTTGGTCACTTCTGTGTTCAGTCATGGTCTTCCCAGGATATGAGGCCAGATTTGGGTGATTATTCTGCTGCAAAGCTCACATTAAACGACTTTGCAGGAAAGGATGCTGTATGAGAAGCCAAGATGAAAGCAGTTCAGCCCAGCGGATGGGTATGGCTTGAGAACAGGAAAGAAACTGAGAAGTTAAGGGGGAAAAAGAGCAACAAACCATTAGGAGCACGGTCAGGAACTGAGACTTGATGTGAGGGTCAGTGAGAGACAGCAGCCAATGCAACCATTTACTATTCTAGTAGCAAATGGGGAAGCTGCCTTAAAATGAGAAGTTGTTCTTCACAGCCAGTCCCGCAGGTTGATCCCAGCCCTGCTGACCACAGTCTTCTGAGGGATGCCCTATTGCACTCCCTAAGATGCCTCAGATGGAGAGAACAAATGGCCCAATTGTTGACAGGTAGCCCCGGAGGCCACTTCCTCATGCCACCTGTAATGCCCCTTTCTGGCTCCACCACAGCATCACCCTGCAGGTACGCAGCCTCACGCATGCACACAGAATGTGACACTGGTTTAGAGCCAGGACAGAGCAGACAGTCACCAGACTGGACGACCGACTTGATGTCTACAGACATGTACTATGTTATCAGGAAAAAAAGGATTAGGTCTCTAACAGCGAGACCTGGCAGATCTTAAAGCTCCTACCCCTTCTGCTAATAACAGACTGCAAACATCTGAGAACTGCTTTGTTTGGCTGCACTATGCTCCCGCTTCTCTCTCTGCTCAGATAAGCAGCTCTTTGGGAAAGATGCTGTCTCTCACCGTGTGCATCTGTGAAGTGCTCAGCAGCAGGGAACTGCCTCTTCAATTCACTGATGCTGCTTGTGACCACAAGAAGTTACACAGCCTCCTGCGCTCCACTGCTCTCGCCGCGCAAGGCATCGCTGAAGCTGCTTCTTTGCAGCGCAGATGCACTTATCTCAGCATTGCATCATCTCCATGACAGAAGGTTTCTGGAGGCAACCGACAGCTCAGAAATCACCAGCCAAAATGCAACTGAAGGAGTTTGGTTTTGTTCACAGAGCAATGCGACAGAGAAGTAACAATTAAATAATTAATTAAAGCTAGTCAAGAGCTTTGAAGATGAACACTGAGCATTACTGTCCAGATTGTGAGTATTAGGAAAGAAGAGTGACAGATTTGAATAGTGGGTGGATGAGAATGCAATGTATCCTCTCTCAAGCAGACAGGCACACAGAGACCTCACATGGAGCCTAATTATTCACTCACTCTCTAGAGTTCCCATAGTTCTTGTCCGTGCTGCTTTGCAATACAACCCAGGACTCTGATTCACCGCTCAGGCTTTGCCGTGGTGTAATCCTACAGATCTGAAAGGAGTTATCTTTTCTGATGTTTTGAGTTTGTGCCACTCTGAGGCAGTAAAATCAGAATCCCATTATACAACACATCTATGCATGATCAGTAGTGGATTTTCAGATTTTATTTCGTACTTTCAGAGGTAAAGGGGATTAGCACTGAACAATTGTTATTTTTCAGCGACTTAATGAGAGATGCTCTTTCACTTTGATGTGAGCATGACCTATCAAGAAATTAAGCAGCACGTAACGTGTAAAACCTCTGCATGTCCCAGGCCTGTTCTTTAGGGGGTTTCTCCTTCTCACCTGGAGATCTCAGCTAGGTCCAGCAGCTACGCCAGAGGTCTCCAGACCAGAGGCACCCGGTCAGTTTTGCTATCAGCTGTTGGTGTTGCTGAAGGCTCTGAAATTTCTTCGGCAGGTCCAGTGCCTAGAGCAACAGAACAAGATCCTGACGACACGGTGGAATTTCCTGAAGGACCAAGACAACTCCCACTCCGAATCGGACATGAAGGCCATCTACGATCAGTACATGAGCAAAATGAATCAAGAGATGAAGGCACTCAACTATGAGCAGGAAAATCTCGAGTTGGAGCTGACAAAGGTCCTGAGCACCATGGATAACTTTCGAAGCAAGTAGGTATAATCCTGGTATATCCTTGGATGTGCAAGGGGGAATGGGTTAAGCTGCGTGGACAAGGAGTAGCGTGGCACTGATTTAGCACAGCCAGCCAGTTATTCTGAGGAATAAATAGAACTGTGCATTTGAGAGGTTAGCTTCCCAGTCTCTTCCTAACTAGAGATGGAAGTAACCCATAGAAAGCAAATCATCAGGGCATCTGAGAAAGGCCTCAGACCAGAGTACATCTCTGGGGAACAATATTACCAGGAATGACAGCCAATATAACAAAGAATTATTTATTCTCCACGCTGTTATCACAAACCAAAACTTCCTCCCCAAACTGTTTTATGGACTAGGCTACTTAGCATTAACAAACACCCCCTCTTTTCCCTATTCTCCCCACAAAATTTAAAGCAAAATTCTGCTTTGACCAAGGAGTCAAATTCTTACCCAGAAAACCTCTGGACAGAAAATAGGAAGGCAGCTGGAAGTTTAAGAGAGGGCCAGCTGCTGAGCACTTATCGCTGCTTTTGTCAAGAGCTTCAAGATCTTCTGATAAGAAGATTGGAGATGCTCCGTGGCTCATTTAAGAAGACAATGCTCTCCTTATTATCGGTGTCATTTACATACCGCACAGATGAATCCACAATTAGATACTTTCCCTTACAGTTACACCCAGCTGCCTACACAAGCTCTCTGGAGCCTTCCGTGCTGATTTGTAGCGACGACCCACCTGTGGGCACTGTCAAAACAGAACAACAATGCTAAGGGCCCACCCCTCCGCTGGCACTGATAGACATCGCTGTAATAATAGCCCAAACCTGTTCCTGATGAACAAAGCGATGCATAAATAATAACAGTGCCCTTCTCCAGAGTTTAGCCCAAGGATCTTAAAGCTCCCTGCAGACCTTGATTAAACCAGCTGCTCAACGTGTCTGCAAATTAGGGGAAGGACTGATACCTCCGCTTTACGGACGGGGTAACGGGGAGACAGCAGCTGCATGGGGCGAGCTGGTGGCAGAGCAGGAAGAGGAGCTGAGAGATTGGCTCTTGACCTTATGCTGAAATCATGATGCTGAGCATCTTTCCAGAACTGATGCACTTATGTACAGATGCCTACAGATCCCCGAGTTCCTCGTGGTGGGTGCCCGTAATTCATTTGGATGCTGGTTTCACTAACAGACTTGGAATCGCTGCTGCTTGCTTTGCTGACAGGTAGCCAGCCTGAACTTGGATTCAAGCCATAAGAGGGATTGTGCCATTTAAATGTTTTAGGAAAGGGAATAAGACCTCAAGACCTCTCTGGGGCACTTGTTCCTCCCTGTACATCCCCTGGGAAGCAATGGCTCTGTGGCCATGCTGTTACAAGAGATACTCCTTGTTTTATTCTGCGACAGTCAGGAAAACCCAGATGGGAAAACGGTCAGGCTGGTAGAGAAACATCAGATCAGTCACACGTATCTGCTCTCACAGCTTGTACCCTCATTTGTTCTCAGTAATTACCTCATTAATTGCCCATGTCTGGCAATTTATTTTTATGAATTTAAATGAATGTCTGCATTTATTTCTCAGCCCAGTTTCTTAGGGATAAAGGTGCTTAGGCAAACTGGCTGGCTGTGTGTTTCCCTCCTAATTTCTGATCTTGGACAGTTTCAACCTAGTTGGACAAACGGGTAGACAAGACAGATATGCTTTACTGCTAGAAATTCAAAGCCCACGACCAGCTAGAGGAACAGGACCACCTCCCAACCCAACGCACACAGGGGGTAAGGACATAGCGTGTAAACCTGCACGGGATCAGACAGCAGGGAATCCACACTGGGCACCAGTTTATGAGCAGTTTATGGTACAACTATTGGTCTTGGGAAAAGTTCCCGCTTTGTGGGACTACACAGCCACAGGAAAATAGCCTTCGGAAATGACACTGCTCCTCCGAGCGCTCTTCCTTCACTTACAGAGCCCTCCCACTCCGCTTTCTATTTGTGAGCTGCAAGGCACAAGCCCTGCCAGGGTGGCCTAAGCAGCAAGTAAGCAAAACCCACCCTGTCATTGGGTGCTGCTAACCCCCGAAGCCAGCGCCGGTGGATTTCTGCGACAGTGACAATCCGCTGAGCTGCTCCCGGCCACTGGTGATTCACGGGGAGAGAAGTGCTGCTTCTGCTGAGCTTTCTCCAGGCAGCAATCCAACCCCGTCCTAACCCACACTGGCTCTGTTGAATCCTGCAAGACAACTGCCTCAGCCCAGTTGTTTTTCTGGAGCGAATGGTCTACTTAAACCATGCAAATTTTGGAGGCTTCCAGCTCTTGCAGAGGTTTCTTTTCCCAAGGGAAATATTTTTGGGGAAGCAGAAGGTAGTAACTCCACTAGCAATTTTAATTGGGCATCTGCTCGTCCCTGCTGTGGCACTCCAGAAAGCCATGCACGCAGTGGTGCCCAGGCAGGCTGCTGCCCAAGAGATCCTAAGTGAATCTGCCTGTCAGTGCTCCTCGGGAAGGCCTTGATTTGTCTGTCTTTTCTGTTAAGGGATTGCTTTCCAAAAGACACACAGGAAACTTAGCTAGCTGGGACGTTTTCACCTTCTCCAGCTTCCTTAGGGTAACGTTGACCAGCATCAATTCTCCGTTGTCACTGTTCCAAAGTGAGGGGATGGAGAAGGGACAACAGAATAAATCGAAGGCTGACACAGGGTCTCAAACCCTGCTTCTTTAGGAAATCAAGCTAAAAATCAAATACCAAAACATATTCGAGTAGGACTGCCCAGGAGTGAAGCTTTTGCTTCAGCTCCCCACGCGTGATTTGCACATGCAAAGAGCCATTTGAATGAGAAGGCAGGGAATTTTTGCATGTGCCGAGCAACTCTGGGGTGGGACTAGGAGAACACTGCAGGAAAATATGGGGTTGCCAGCCTTTGGAGGGGCCATTACTGAGACCCAGGTATTGTGACAATCAAGCCTTCCCCCTGGAGATTGGTCAGCCAATGTACCTCTGCCTCTGCAGCTGGTTTTCAGTGGCTCCCTCCCCCCTTTCCTTGCTCCACAAGAGCGACTGACTTAATTCCATGCCACCAGGCTCAGATCTATCCCACCACTGTATCTTCACCCTAAGGTAGTCTTGGAGGTGTGTCCAGAGAGGAACGTAGCCTGCCTGAAATGCAGTTCAGCTCTGATTTTGCTTCACTGATTATGGAAGGAGCCCAAGGCGACCAGACGCCTGTCTCAAGTGCGGCTTAAGTGCATGAAGTGAGATAGGATGGATTTGTGCCTTAATGCATGATTGCTTGAGGATTACCTTTAAGGAGATAAATGCTGTAATGTGTTTGTGGAAGGCTCCATCCCCATGTGAGTCACCTCCCGGCCGCCACGTCCCTCCGGAGCCGTGCGGTGAGCATGTTTGGCTTGCTTGGCCTGCTCCCTTTCAGGCAGGAGCGTTGTTTGTTCCACACGCAGGATTATGTCAGCGCCCGGCAATGTGCGAAGCTGCTTCAGCAGGCTGGGACAGACTGGGATTGGGCTGAGATGCCATGAGGATGAAGGAAGAGTGGCAGGCTGTAATTAAGCTCGGTACATAGTTACTGGCAGCATGGCTAACATTCCAGCTGAAGAGCAGAAAAACCAGACAGGTAAATCTTGTTAGCCACGCTGCCTGGCCCTATAAAAGCAGGCAAGGAAAGGGTGAGTTTAACACCATGGGGATACAAAAGGGGAGCCTTAGAAGTGCCCAACTGTAGAGCCTGCGACAATCAGATCCCTCCTGTGCCCTCGCTATCTCCTCTGTGGAGGAAGCAATGGCTCCAGGGAACTGTTTTCAATATTCCAGGTCAGCTCCCAGGCACGACTCACCCCCTTGCCCTGCAAAGCAGTCCCCTGTGCTGCATTCCCAATGCTTCTTCCTCTTTCTGGTAAAAGTTTGTTCAGCAGCAGAGCAGAGCTTGTAGCCAGAGTGATGATGCACCCGACCGTCAAACAACAGAATATGGCTGTCATTCCTGATTTTATTATCACTCCTCTGTTAGGAAATACCATTTTACCTCATTTGCAAAGATCTTAGCCCTCCAATTTGGTGACATCTGCAAGTAGCACTCAAAGGTTTAATTCCCAGCCTGGAAACGCTATGAGCACATTAGGGCAAGAGGAGCCTGAGGTGTCCTGGAAGCGCAGGGAAGCCAGGGCCTCCCTGGGAGCACGGCCTGCTCCGCTCTCAGCAGAATAGCCAACACACCCCTAGTGTGTCCTGCAGCACAGCGGGAGATACCAGACACCCATCACAGAATGCTTCTGGACTCATGCATGGCAAACAAACAACCCACTGCTGGTCACAGATCAGGCCCAAAAGAGACCCTGTGGTTTCCTGCTTAGATTGCTGCTCTCAGCAGCATCGGGGCAAGCCACACACTTGCCACAAGAGCCAACGAGGACTGGTGTGTTCCCTAAACTAGCCTCTCGTGCCTGGTGCCAGCCTTCAGGAAATGCGTTTGCCCCAGACTAAGTCTTTGCCATCCTGGTCCTGCCATATCAAACCTGTTTTTAAACACCTGCAGGGTTGGTTCCCTTGCTGGATATTTAGCCATTAGGACTCCACCCTGTCCCGTACGGTTTTTGTTACCTTCTGGTCTGTGGGCACTGTTTTCCATGAATTGCTTTGCCAGGTCTTCTGTTTCTTCACTAATCATGCTTACACTTAAGATAAGTTCTGATGCCAGTCCCGTTTTCTCGATTTTACACAAGCAAAGCTTTCTCCCTTGAGAAGCCTCTCAGGTTCTGAAGACTAAATGCTGAGGATACCTGAAAGAAACAGAAGAGAAAGGCTTAGGGTAAACATCTGGGACTCTTTGGGCATGCAACTGGCTTTCACAGAGAACAGCTCACCACACCTCACTTTGCAGTGCCTGCTCTCTGTGGCAAATGTGAGGTAACCTGAGGTTGCTTAGCCCTCAAATTAAATCAGAGTTAAAGTTACCTCCTCTTAGTTTTTGGTTTTTTTTTCTGTCTAAAAGTGCTAATGGTGTTAATCTAGAGTAGCTGGCATGTAGCAGCTTGTTACCCTCTCTCTTGTCCAGATGCCCATTCCTAAGAGGTTTCTCTCCTGCTGTTATTTAGGGGCAGAGGACGTCGAGTAGGTGGAATATCATAGTAAAAGCAGAAAGCCTGGATGTTAATGTCTGGGGGGCCAGCAAGACAATGTTAAGCAACCCAGAGACTCATGTGCAATTTCTGACAACTTTTTTCCACTCTCTTTAGATACGAGGATGAAATTCGCCTCTGTAGTGGCATGGAATACACCTTCATGGAGCTCAAAAAGGTCAGTGGCATGGGGAGCTTTTCATCTACATGGTCTCTACACCAGCCAGCCAGGAGCATAAGAGCCTTTGTACCACTGAGGTTTGATGGGGTAATAAGGTCTTGAAGAAGAGAGCGGAGTGGTGAACATGGTCACAATTTCAATAGAAGTATAAGCAAGTCTGGGCTGCTTGTGGTTACAGAAGAGCCCCGTGGCTCTTGGCAGAAGCACCTGGGGGTCAGCCTGAGCCTGTGTCCAGCCACACCGCGATTGCCCTGGCCAGACCTGGCCTGGAGAGCTCTGTACCCCAGACCCTCCGAGACAATACCTCTGCTCCCTGGCACGTTCCCTCACAGAATGACAGCATGGGTTGGAAAAAGCTGGAAATTGATAAAAGTGTTTGCTTTTGCTACCTGTTGCGTGGCCACACCCTGCTTAAACATCCCGTCCCAGAGGTAGCTGCATTTGAATATCAGTGCAAATGGAAGGCTTTGTGTGCAGTCTTTACATTAAAAAAAAAATCCAAGGTGCAGGAATGCAGGATATTATTAGACAGAGGAAATGTTCTCCGCAAATTATCATTATGGCTAATTGCATGTTTTCCCTGACACAGTCATCAGCCAGTAAGGGCAGTTCTGGCAACTTCTGTGGACAGCATCAGTTTTCAATAACCCCTGCTTTTTGTGGTGAACAAAAGATGAGTGGGTACGGACCAGCCCTGCCTGCTTCCTTCTCCACCCTACCTATTTGAAACTTCTACCAAAGCTCTCACCCAAAAAAACAAAAAAACAGAACAAAAAAAAAAACAAAAAACAACAAAACCTGCAGAGCTGAAGTCTCCACAAAAAGCCTCCCTGCTTGTAGAGCATGAGAGCAATTTCACAAGCACCAGGCAATAAACAGCAAGCAACACTTGCTGGGGGCATGGGGGCAACACAAAAGACTTCTTACTACGGCCCAAAGACAAACTATTCATTAATTCACTTCAAACAAACTATTCATTAATACACTTTCCACCTCCTGCAGGATTTAGACGCGAGTACCTTGCACAGAACTGAGCTGGAGGTAAAACTCAACGGGCTTCAGGAGCTGATGAATTTGAAGAAAACCATCTACGAACAGGTAAAAACGCAATCGAGAGAGCAGCCCTGGCACATGTGCAAGCTTCTGTGAAAAAAAGCAGTCTTTTTGAGGACATTCCCAATACAGAGAGGTCATTGTTCCCAGTTTGCACCAAAATGAGCGCTTGCCTGGTAGAGTTGCAGCCAGCTACTAGATAAAGGGCATAATGCAGCATCTATCAGCTAATCCCCTTCCCTTAAGGGAGCCAGCTCCATAAGAAGTTTGATCAGGACGTTCCTTCTGCCCCACAGCTCCTGGAGCAGCAGCCCTCCATCAGTCCCAACCCCCCACCTAACCCCCCGCTGGCTGTGTTTAGCCTCAGCTCCTAACCCCTGCTGCCAGAGTTTGCCTCCAGACCTGGGGCAGGTGCTGAGCAAGCCGAGTGTTATTTTCTTCGGATGCAGAGGAAAGGCTCACAGCAAAACAGGACAAGCCACTGTGAACCTGGGAGAGGTGCTGAATGCTGTCGTAACCCAACCCAACGTGCTCCGTTCCCACTGGAAGGAGTACGCAGTCGGATGTGATTTCACCACGGGGGGAAGGATGCAGCGTCTGCAGGCCTTTGAACAAACCCAAAGGGCGCAGTGTGCCTGCATCTGCTCAAACGCTGATGTGATTTCAGGCACTTACTCAGAGCCTGTAAAATGCTACCGAGCAGGCTCAGCAGTGTTTGGGGAATACTAATGATTTGTCTGAATTCCACCAATACAAACAATTAAAATGCTTGACAGAGGAATGCCATTACCCTTTGTGGGGAAACTGAGGCACAGAGAAGCAGAATGCCCTGCATAATGACAGAAATACATCAAAACTCACAGCCTGCCTGCATCCAGCCGTGAGGCCTTACTTCTCTAAAATTACTCCTGTTGCAAGGCAATTACAGGGGTAGTCAGAAATCAGATCCTGCTCTGAATCCACGTTCAACACCCCACCCGGGAGGCTGCTGCCTTCCTTTTGAGCTGCTTTCTCCTAGGTCCCACACTGTTGCCCTCAGCAGCAGTCTATATTTCTTTTACAACTCCCCCTTTATGCACAGAAATTACCCTCCACCTCTCTTTCTCTGCTTGCTCCTCTCCACGGCTGGTTTTCTGGTTAGTCATTTTCTCGCCCATGCCTGTTGCTCCGACTGACATCAATGTACAGGCACATGCACCCAGCAGAGAGGTAAACGTGGGTGGGTAACTGCTTGACATCTTTGCTCACAGTATGTTAGCATGAATCAGAAGAAATCCCCAGCCTTGATCCTCATTAATAAATCTCTACTTTGGGGGTGGGTTTTTGTTTGGTTTGGGTTTCGTTTTTTTGTTGGCAGAGGATGCTCAAGTCCTTGCAATACACATGCATCTTCTCATATAGCCATTAAAGTGCTCAAAGATTAACAAAGAAGCTCAAAGACTGAACAACAGTAAGGAAAAAAATGCACTGATAATCCTGTTTCCTGTACAAGTGGTGGGGTACTGCTCCATTATTCATGAATCTCCACATCAGGGCACCCTTTGTTTCCCCAGTCAGAGGCAGACAAGGCAAACAAGGTATACAGATGCTCCTCTAAGAGATTAGAGGCTGCTGCACAAAAGGGCAGAACAAAAACATCAAGATGAAAGCTAAGAGATGGGGAGAGATGTACCAGGTCTCTTTCACGCTGGTGTAAATAAGAAGCTACAGAGATGCTGATAAGAGGGAACCCTTGCAGGAGCAGACCGAGGCTGGGGGGAGCTGCCAAGTGAAGGTGCACGCCATCTGCTTGGCAGCGAGGCAGCAAGCCCTGTCTTGTCTGCACACAAACCACCCAGGAGCGCAGTTTACAGGCATGGATTAAGGATCCTTTTTAGGTTCACTGAGGGGAGTCTGCATACATCGTTTGAATTCTTTTCCGTAGAACTGTGACAGAGTCAGCCATCCAGAGCAAATACCCCAGTCAGTGATACCACAGCTTGTGTGCCTGTTTCTGACTCCCCAGGGCTGGCATGAGTTTCTCCAGCACATGAGAGCAGCTCTGGGGAGCAAAACAGGTCTGCCGCTGATAGAGGTGTTCAGAGAAGGGGCCTCTTTTTCCCTTCTCTTATTAGAGAACACTTGCTGTATTCTCTTACAGCAAGTAGCTTTGTTGACTACTTGATATCTCAGTCCTGTTCTCTCTTTGCCATTCAGGAACTCGAGGAGCTGCTGACAGAAATTAAGGACATCTCTGTTGTTCTGGGAATTGACAACACATGCAAGCTCGATCTGAGCAGAATTGTGGAAGAAGTAAGGGCTCAGTACGAAGCCCTGGCTCTTCGGAGCTGGGAGGAGGCTGAAACACTTACCAGGAGAAAGGTATTTGTCTCCTTATCTGATTGATACTGGGGAGAGGCAGGGAAAGAAGAAGGGAGATCAGCCTAGAAACTACAGGAATCAGCAAGATGTGGAGGGACAGAGCACTAACCCAGATCAGCTCCTCCTAATTCACATGTGTAAATTAGGAGCTGAGTTTCATTGCCCAAGACTCTCCACACCGTCAGTGGAGAAAGGCAAAGACATCTCCCAGTGGCAACGCGGCCCACCTAAGATGCAGCAAATGATCTTCCACTGGTGCCCCCTCCAAACAGAGGGAGCAAGAACATGGTTAACAACAACAGGGTGCTCTGTGCCTGGCGCAGCTACAGCCAGAAGACAATATGAGAATGAGCCCTAAATCCTTCCACACCCCTGGTATTTTTCCCCAGTTAGGTGTTTCTCCCCAGGGGCAGTGAGAATCCTCCCAGATTCCTTTGCTACAGCGGAGGAAGAACAAATAACCCACTCTTCCATCTCCCCTGCAGCTGAACGAAGGCAACACCCAGTCAGCCACCTATGGAGGTCACCTCCTTGACAGCCGACGGGAGATTGCAGACCTAAACATCCAAATCCAGAAGCTGAGGTCCTGCATCGTGTCCCAGAAGAGCCAGGTGTGTCCTGGGGTGGGTGACAAAGCTCTAATCTGCAGGTCTGAAACTACAGCACACCTAACGCCTCCACCACCTTCCTTCCCTTTGCAACACCAGTGCCTGTACTTAGAGGAGAATATCAAAGAAGCAGGAGAGCATGGGGAGACGGCCCTCAAGGACGCCAAAGCCAAACTGGTCAAGCTAGAAGAGGCCCTCCAAAAGAGCAAGGAGGATATGGCTCACCTGGTGAAGGAGTACCAGGAGCTGATGAACATCAAGCTGGCCCTGGACTTGGAGATCCTCACTTACAGGAAGCTCGTGGAAGGGGAGGAAAGCAGGTGAGCTGGGCTTCTTTGTGCTTGGACAGTGGGAGAGAGGCACACGAACACCTAGGGAGAAAGCAGACATCCCAAGCTTTGAGTCTGGTGTAGGTTTGATGAAAAAAGAGCAAACCCCAGCTGCCCCCATACAGTTCAGCCCTGCTTCTTGCTCTGCAGTTTTCCGTAAGCTCTCGGAAGGCACCAGCACTCCTCTAGATGATGCTTGGCCCAGATGCTATTGAGTTAGCCTCCACAACCCTACCCTGCCCTTGGCTCTACCCACACAGCCCAGCTCCCTCCCTCTGGAATTGCAGGTGCTAACACCCACCTTCACGCTCTCTCCTTATGCCCACAGCATGGAGTCTCCAATCCCCACCGTCATCAGCGCCGTGCACTCCAGACCGAAGCACCGTAAGTGGTTTTCTTTGTACAGCTTGGTGAAGCAGAATGTAAGTCAAACACTTCTAAGCTTGCCCCCTCTCATATTCCCTCTCCCAGCAGTTTCTGCCAGCACCTTAAGGAACTCCAAGCTGTTTGCAAGAGGAACAGGCAGCACCAACGGGGAGATGAAGCTGAACGGAGGCAGCACAAAGACCCTGCCCTCTCGAAGCCTCAGCAGCGGCTCAGCAACACCTGAAGCAGATGCTTCCATCTGTGGTGCCCGGCCAAAGTTCAGCTCCCTGTCCTCTGAAGAATGCTCCTAGGAGAAACGGAGCTCCACAGCACAACCACAAGACTCGTTGGCATCTGCAGCCAAACGAGGCCCGAGTACTTTCTCCTGAACTCAAGCCAGCGTCCAAGGGATGAAGGATGAAAATCCACTGCAGGCTGTCTCTTTCGTCTTTGCAACATCCCAGTTAACATCTCTGCTACCAGTTACAAGCAGAAACCAGCCCAGGCTTTTAGAGCCTCTCCTACTCTGATACCCATACTGACATCTTCTCCCTCTCTAGGTCTGCTTCCCGAGAGGATTTGTATTCATAGCCTTTGAGGTCTATCTATAGGAAACTTGGCAGGAGGGGAAAGTATTATCGCACAAGCTTTTAACACACTAGCCACCAGCCCAGCCATTTTACCAGTATTACAAAATCATTCTCCCTGCTCTGTGTGTGCCTGAGAGGTGTTCACTGATGTGGAAGGCAGCGCCGAGCTTTCCACAGGGAGCTGGCGGAGAGATGCAGTCAGCCTGAGCCAGGTGAATTCACAACATCTGCATTTGCATGGCTGGTGACAAACAGGCTGGCTGCACTCGGGAATCCTTGCCTACTTCACAGTATTTAACCAATTCTACTGCCTTTTGGGTGGCCCCCCATTCTTTCCATGCCACCAAAACTAAAACTCCTCACACTTCTGATCACCTTCCTAACAGAGAGCACCTCCACCGGTCTCACCTACAGGCACCCCAGACTCTGCATGCAGTGGTGCTAGGTCCTAGAAATGGGCTTTTCTCTGGCTCCCGTGTAAGTAAAACAAGCAGGACTTGTCATTGTATTTATTGAACTTCTGGAGTGGCTTTTACCTTACCCAGCTGACACCAGCTAATGCACAGCAGCCACACTGCACCAGAGCTCCCTGGGCCAGCTCTGCAGATGCCAGCTGCAGTCCTGGCCTCAGCACAGGCATTTCTGGGTCCCTCTTGCACAAACTACCACGGACGGTGCCCTGCAGTATTCTCCTTCCTGAGGCCAGGCTCTGACCTCAGCCACTGCCACGCAGCCCAACTCGAGTTCACGGATTTTGAGTTCACAGGAGGTGTTAATAGTCTCTTGGTGTAATTCCACTGTGTGCATCACAGCATTTCCATGTTTCTGTAGGGTAGACAGCTACTGCAGCATCTCTGTAACCAGAACACCTGCTCTCCGGGGTTATGGCTGTTATAATAAAGTACTGAGTGACACGTGGAAAGCCTCGCATTGCTGGTTTGCTCTGAACTTCTTACCTCAACCCACCTGAAATGGCAATTCCTTCCCTAGTTGCCGGCGGGCCAGGGCTGAGGACCCTGGCTACCTTCTGGCAGCAGAATGAAGCTGAAATTACTTCCCAGGCAATTTGCTTGGTGCAGATCCCCAGGGAGAGGAACGGGGGCTGCGGGGGCTGGATGGAGCCAGCAGCCAAGGCTTTGGGGAGCTCATCACTGTTCTACCACCAGGGGACCCCCAACAGACAAAAGCCCCCAGAGGTGCCAGAGGACCCGAGATGGGGAAAGCTCCTCTGCCCTTTGCTGCCCACCTAAGAGCAATGCTGAGCTTCCAGGGTCAGTGTAGCAGCAGGGTTGGGGGCTCCAGGCCAGCAGCTACAGCCCCCAGCCCTTAAATCCGCTGGTGGCACAGCCCAAGGCTCTTGGTTTCCCCAAATGGTTGGGATGGGAAAGGGGGAAGCCCCAGGTGAGCTCCCAGGGGTAGGAGCCATCGCCAGCTGAGGAAGAGACGGAGCTTTAGCACAGAGCTTCCCCCTGGAGGCAGGGCCCAGCAGAGCCCTTCCAGGCAGAGGCACAAAGCTGCGTTTGTGCAAGGCTGCGTGACACCAAAGGCACACGGAGCCCAGAGGATGGCTCTGAATAGCCCCAGCACCCCTGGGTGGCAGGATGGGGCTGGGGCGCTGCGACACGGAGCCCGCGGTGTCCAGGGTGAAACCCAAACACGAAGGGAGGGCTTGGGAGCACTCAGCCCAGGGATCTGGAGGATGGGGAGCTCGGAGACTGTGCTCACGGCCAGGCTGGGGAGGGCAGGGGCTCGGCAGCAGCCCAGCCCTATGAGAGGAGCGCTTCTGGCTGGTTCCTCGCCCTCCCACACATTCCTTGGCTGCTTCCGAGCCCTCCACGGCTCAGGGGACAGGAAGCAGGACTCTGGGATTCAGCTCACTGCTCTGGGACCCAGGAAGGATGGGCCTGCTGCTAGGACAAAGCAATTCGCTATCTCACTGCCTCAGTTGCTCTGCTGCTCCTTGCCTCAGTTTCCCCACTGACAAAGGGAAAAAAGAAAATGCTATCAAGGCACATTGTGCTGGACAAGGATTTCAGGCAGCAGGATGATTCCTGCAGACCACTGATGGAAGCTGAGCTATGCCTGAAATAGTTGCATGCCTTTGGGACACCCCATCTGCCCACACACCCGTCCTTCCCCCTCTGCCATAATACCCCTTAAGCACTGAATTCATCTAAAGGACCTGCCCCTTCCTTAGGGCTAATTCCTGCAGTTATCCTGACAGCAGAGGGATGGCCAGCCCCAAACCCAGCTGCTAAGTTAGATGGGGACGTTCTGTAGCTTTTTTTTTTTCCTTATCAAGCAAAGGGCATCACAACCCGTGAGTGCTGCTGGAATAGCAGGCAGTGCCATCAGCTCAGGACCTCAGAGCTCCCTTTAGGGTGGTGGGGGCAGTCCTACAAGGGCAAGGATGCTGAGCCAGCACAGCAATGAACAGCCTGGCCGTCAGATTCAGCTTCTGCTAAGGGGATCTGTGAAAAAGAGGCAAGCTCATCCGTGTTATCTGGTGAGCTACGTGTGCAATCCAAAGCACAGCCATCTCCTGGTAAAGCCGTATCAGTTTCAAGAAGCTTCCCAGAGATGATCTCAAACCCTGTCTGGAGCCAAAGATCGAAGCGTCTACCCCAGCATGGGGAGAGGAGACATCAGATGGCCAGCACGTGGCCCAGCTGCAAGCCAAGGCCCTGGGCAAAACGCAGGGACAGATAAAACTGTGCTGAGAGCAAGGGGCAGAGCAGATTTCGGTGGTGCAGACGCTGGCAGGGAAGATCAGCGGGCAAACATTCGCGTCTGCACAACAGCAACTGGGCTGGAGTCCAGCAGACAAGCCGGAGCAGACGGAGGGAAGCGGCAGGGCTCCGCTGCTGTTTTCCAAGCGGGGAAAAGTCTGAGCCCAGACCACATCTGAGGGCACCGCATTCCTGGGCCGCTGCCTCCCGGGGTGGGGAGCACCCAAGTGTGGGCTCCTGGCTCCCTCTGCCGGGCAGGTGCCACCACCGCAAGCGCTTCCCAGGAGGATCCCACAGCCGCCACGTCCCCAACCACCCCGTCCTGCCCAGCCCAGCCTCCCAGCACAAAGGGAGAGCAGCTCCCAGGCAGCAAAAATCAGCGCGCAAAGCACGGTCGAGGTCTCTCCCTGGATGCTTTGGGAGGCTGTGGTAGAGGCTACGAAGGGAGGCTGAGCCACCGAGGGCTGCCCGACCCCAAAACGTGTTCCTCACCCACCAAGAACTCACGGCCTGGTGGAAAGCACGTCTGTAACCCAGCCTGGCTGGCCCCGTTCGTTTCACTGCTCACACATGCAGAGATCTCACTCCTTCATAGCCCACACACACTTGGAATCAGCCTGGGGAAGGTAAATTGGTGCCCAGCGGAGTAACCAACAGCTCGAAATGCCTCTTGACCAGATGCCATCGGTCGTACCTGGGGGTTGTGCTTGTGAAAGGGGCCACGAGCCCTTTATGGCCTGTAGAAAGTAAAAGTCCTCATTATTTTCAAGCAATAGAGCTAAATCCTGCCACCAAAGGCTAAAGACAAAGAAGCAAGCCAAGCTTTCCCTTGGAAATGCAACCTCCAACCCATCTGCCCCCCAGGGAGCAGCCGCCCAGCTGCACGTGGGACCATTTCTGGTTCTTCTCGTACCTCCTGCCCCTGCAGATGCAGCAGCAGAGCCCACCAGGCCCCGTTTAAACGGGTCACAGACCTGGGCTCGATGCAGACAGCTCCGTGTCCTCCCCGCAACCAGGCCCAGAGCTGCAGGTAAACCTAGACGGGGGAAATCTGGGCAAGCCAAGCTCGTGCCCTGTGCCAGAGGGGCAGCAAATCCCTCCACATGCTCCATGGTGCCAAATGTGAGGGAACTGAGATGGAAACGTGTTCCCAGGGTCAGAAAGGCCAGCCCAGAGCTCCAGAGGCTCTGCACCTCGTGCCAGAGAGCAGTGGTGCTTCTCCAAAAGCGTCCCCAAGCCCCCTCACTCTCCAGCCCACCCCAGCCTGCCGGTCCCAGTTCACCCCCAGCAGCTCCAACTGGTTCCAGCTCAGGTCGGGAGCATCTCCAAGAGACAGAGGGAGAAAGACGGCTCCCCC